CTTTTCATAAAACGGTAGAAGGACATGAAAAACAAAAAAAGTAATTTTAATCTAAAAAAAAGTGCAAGATAAATTGGATTAATATAAAAAATATCAAATCTAATAGAAAAAAAAACCGCTAAATCTAGGATTATTGAAAAAATATTAAAAAAAGAAAAATTTTACCGCTAGTGGTAGCAATTATAGAAAAAACTTAAAAAAAAAAAAAACTTTTGCTAGAATTTGTTAAAACTAAATGAAGTAGGTATACTCAACAAGTACCATCTAGAAATTAAAATGACTTTTTCATATTTTTTTAGAAAAACATGTGATTGTTAAAGCTAAATGCTAAACCTCCGATAGAAAGCAGGGACAATTCCATTATTTTCATAAATAAGGGTATTTTATCCATTTTCCAGCATCATTCATGGGCATTTTGGTCATTTTCAATGACCATTTGGTTTGTTTTCTTACCATTTTTAAATTATTTTATTATGCTATTTTATAATAATATTTAATTTTATGTTTTAGAAGTGCAAAAATATTTAAGTTATAAATACTACTTTGACGTATGAATTTTCATTCAATTGTGATGTAGAGCCAACGAGTCTCCTATTTATTAAGGACGGATGATGGTTTTAATATTTTATCTAATAATAAAAATTCTAAAAAAATCTTGTTAAATTAATTAGGTGAGTAAGTCGAACCAACGAGTCTTCGATTCAAATAGGGATCGATGGTGGCCTCAACGTTTTATTTGAAAATGGCTAAAAAAAAAAAACAAACAATAATAAAAAATAAAGTAATCAATTTTGAAAACATTTTTGCATCTACATCCAGATAAAACACTTTTTGCTAGTTAGGTCATTCCTTGATATATCAATTGTATCAAGATTTTAATTGAATCCGATGCTCGAATTAGCGAGATTCCCAAGATTGAGACTAGATGTTAATTTAATATAATTTCACGAAAAAAAATAAAACTCATTTTTTGAATTTAGAAAATTAAACTTGAAAAATAAATTTAAAGATAAAAAAAAATCAATTTTTGCATTTGCGTTTTGATTTGACACACTTAGCTAATTAGGTCGTTCCTCGACATGCCGATAATGTCGAATGTAACCGGATCTAATGCAAAATGATGTGACTCTCAACCTTGGGGCTCGATTTAACACGATATCACAAACAAAAAAAATAAAATAAAAATTAATTTGACTTAGATTACAAATAAACTTGAAAATAGACTTAGAAAATAATTTGACTAACATAATTCTTACGATATATTTTTAGGATTAAACCAATTATGATGCATTTCCTTGGAAATAATGCCTTTGGGTGATTATTATTTTTTCAAAAGCATAACTAACTCTTTAACTATAATCTCTGAATCCAATGCCTCTTTTTAGGTTTCTATTACCTTTAATACTAGGTGGTTACTTCAATTTTGTTTTTTAATTTTTTTTTCTTTTATTTTTTTGGAAGTCCTCTAAATGTTTGGTAGTGACACTAGTGAGAGAGTTTCCTCACCTATCTTTTAAATTTTAAATTTTCTTGGCTTACCCGGTTTTCAAAAAGTTAAATCACATAATAATCCTTCTAATTTTCAAAATTGAATTTTGATTGTTAAACCAAATATGGTACCTTTTCTTGAAAAAAAAGCCCTTGGATGATTGTTATCTTCCCAAAAGCATAACTAACTCTTTAATCACAATCTTTGAATCCAATACCTCTTTTTAGGTTTCTAATTACCTTCAATACTAGGTGGTTACTTCAAAATTATTTTCTCTTTTCTTGTATTTTTTTGAAAGTCCTCTAAATGTTTGATAGCGACGCTAGTGAGAGAGTTTCCTCACCTATCTTTTAAATTTTAAATTTTCCTAGCTTACCTTGTTTTCAAAAAGCTAAATCTCACAACAATCCTTCTAATTTTCAAAATTGAATTTTGATTGTTAGGGTTTTGAAAACGTAGCTGCTTAAGGTAAACTAATCATTTTGCATTTTTTTGCATTTTTTTAGAATTGTTGTGTAATTATTAGCTGTATTGTAATAAAATTTTTTTTTGTAAGTTTTGATTTTGGATGTTGATGAAGGGGAAAAAAAAACCTCTACGATTACGATTTAGCAAAATTCGTTTTTGAAAAAAAATCATTTTGGTATTTTCAATTGAAATTTTCAATAGATTCCAATAAAAATTTAATCCACTTTTACAAACAATTTCAAAAAATTTTAAAATCTGAAAGTATTTTTTTTCTTGTTTTTGGTATAATAAAAATATAAAAAAATATAAAACAAGTTAGAATTATTTCAAATCTTTCAGGGATCCCAAAAGCATATGAGTTTGCATAATAATTTTAGTTTGATTCTCAAAATTTTGCATATGTACTTTTCAAAATTAACTTATTTAAAACTTGGTTTGGTGTTACGCATTCAACCATGTAAATAATCTTATAATCATATTAAGACTAAGAGAAAAATTCATAAGAATTTTTTAAGTCCTCTAAAAAAATTTGGAATGAAATTTGGGATCATTCCAATTTTTTTTTTTAGTTTTGTTAATATTTAATGTTTTTAAAAAATTTATAATGCTTATTCACCTCAAAATTTATTTATTTATTTATTTTTAAAGTAGAATGAATTTTTATTAGAATATGTGAACAATTTTAAATCAAAATAACAAAATTTTTATTTTTTTTGAAAGAAATTTTGGTCAGTGATAAAGGTCAAATTAAATGAAGGGATAATATTTACTCAAAACATGATCGTTCAAGTGTAGATTAATAAAAAATGATATTACAAGACTCAATGTGCCACAATACCAATATTTCAGGGGCAAAAAATGCCATTGAACAAATTTTCCAGCTACCATATTTGATTTTGAAGAAGATAACAAATCCAGATTATTTGAACATTACTTTAGATGAAGACGAACATCTATAAACGGAATTAAACCATATGGTGTTACGTGTTATGAAATATAACATGTCAGGATGTAATGTATAATATTCAAAATATACAGTGATTATCGTAATCCCCCCCTCCCCCCCCAAAAAAAAAAGGTAACCTCCAATGGAATTATGATAAAAGGCATAATTTACAATATGATAAAATTATCATTAAGAAATTATTATTATTATTTTGCTAAAGGTAAAAATTTTATTAAATTGAAAATGAGAAAAACTTCTATCTTTAAATTAGAAGCCAACCAAGAAAAAAAAATGAAATAGGCTTACATGCCATCATAGTAGCGTCCAAAAACATACAATGAAAACCTTTCATCGAATTTAAAAATCTAGAATCTGGATCTAAAAATTTTAAAAATATTATACAAAGTGAACAGACAATTGGAACATTCTTTGTTGACAATCCACTAGTAGCTACCTTGATATTCCATTTGATACTTTTTTTTAAAAAAAAAAAAAGAGAAAAAAGATTTGAATACTGATTTATTAGCACTTTATGTAAAATTTACATTGCAGCCCTTTCTCATAAAAAGGTAGAAAGACATGAAAAACAAGAAAAAGTAATTTTAATTTTTTTTACAAAAACAGATAAACTAGATTAATATATATAAAAAAATATCAAATCTAATAGAAAGAATGCTAAATCTAGGATTATTGAAAAAAACATTAAAAAAAGAAAGAAAAATGCTACCACTAATAGCAGTAGTTGCAGAAAAAACTTTCAAAATTCTAAAAAAAAAAAAAACTTTTGCTAGAATTTGTTAAAACTAAATGAAACAGGTATACTCAAAAGTATCATCTAGAAATTAACTCCGGATAGTTTATGACTTTTTGATATTTTTTAAGAAAAACATGTGATTTACCTTTCTTATTTAATAACTAGATTACGTGGAATATAATTACAAGAATGTCAATCATCAACTTCGTTTTGCTTCCACCCACATTATATAGTCTCTCTCTAAACTATGCTACCTTATTTACCTAAAATTCCTAACACCCTATATTTTTAGGATTGAAATAATAATACTTCAAAAGGAGTCATCAAAATTACGTATAGTTAAGTAGATATTCATACCGATTAGCCCATAGTTTGACAGTACTCTAAATACACGTGCTTTGCACGTGATATTTGTCAGATGGGGAAAAAAAGAAGCATTTTGGGCCGGGATTGGGTTTTCAGTTTTCCGACTTGTAGTTAGGCTTGCTTAGGAATTTAGGCCTTCCTCTGTACTCATGGGCTTTAGCCCATTGTCCATCAACGAAAACCTTCTTTTCAACTGAGAATTGAGACTCTTTAGAAACGACACGTCGTAAATTTGTAAACTACAAGTCGTCCACCACCTTCTCACTCTAATTTCCGTACAGCTAGAAAAGGAAACGGAAAACAAAGACAAAGAAAAAGAAAGAGAGAGAGAGAGAGAGAGAGAGAGAAACAAAGCAAAGCAAAGTCCGTCTTCTCTCTCCTCCATTGCAAAATGTTTTAGCTTAAGCTCACTAAGAAGCAGAAGACAACTACCAAAAAAAAAAAAAAAAAAAGAAGCAGGAGACTTTTACCTAAACAGCACTTCTGTAAGATTTCATCTCTTCTGATTTATCATTTCTGATTTAAATTCCTTTTAGCAAATCCAAATTCAAAACTGTTTCTTTTTAAGTTTTGCTCTTAGATAGACACCCATAGTTTCATTTCCTGTTTTTTATCTTCATTGTCAAGAACAGAGCAGTTTGTGTTGACGTGGGGTTGAATTAACGTCTCCAGTGAAATTAGGGTTTTTCTTTTCTGTCTCTTGAAGCTCACTTATTGTTCATTCCTACTAAAGATTAGGGCATTTCTAGGGCTTATAGCTATCTGTTGCTATTCAAGTTTGATTCTTGATTTTGAAGGGGTGAAATTTGTTTGGATTTGCAAATTCTTGGTGGGTTTTTGTTTTTGTTTTTTTTTTTTTTTCAGGTTTTTATAATGACAGTGTGTTAGATGCTTTATGTGTTTGAAGCTGCTTGGGGGTTCATAGTTTTAGCTTGTTTTTAGTCTAATTCAGTGGAGAGTTGGTAGAGTGATTTGTTATGTCTATGAATAATAATAGTAATAATAATAACCCACCAAAGAGTTTGGGGCAATCTTCATCGCCATTTGGTAATTCGGGGCTGGTCAATCCTTTGATGGGAGCAAACCAAGCATTCTCACAAGCACAGGCACAAGCACAAGCGCAAATGGGTGCTGGCTTTCAGGGTGGTCAGTTCCAGCTTTCCCAAGCACAGGCTAATGTGCAAGCCCACTTGAAAGCGCAGCAGGCTCATGCTCAAGCACAAGCAGTTCACGCTGCCCAAGTTCAAGCTGCTCATGCGCAATTCCAAGCACAATTACAAGCCCAAGGGATCTCTCTTAACCAAAATCAGAATGCTGGCATTGGCAATTTGGGTTCATCTTCGCCGCAGTTCTCAACTCCTGGGAATGTTAGTGCAAAACGGCTCCCTCAGAAACCTCTGGGTAGGCCTCCTGGTGTTCCAATGTCGAACATGGTTTCACCATTGAAACCTATGGATCTCTCATCTGCTGCACGTAGGAAGAAGCAAAAGCTACCAGAGAAGCAGCTACAAGATAGAGTAGCAGCAATTCTGCCCGAGTCTGCTCTGTACACGCAGCTTCTTGAGTTTGAAGCTCGTGTTGATGCTGCTTTATCTAGAAAGAAGGTTGACATCCAGGAGGCCCTTAAAAGCCCTCCTTCTGTGCAGAAAACCCTTCGAATTTATGTCTTCAATACATTTGCCAACCAGATAAGAACAATCCCCAAGAAGCCAAATGCTGAGCCTCCGACTTGGACTCTTAAAGTTATCGGGAGAATCTTGGAAGATGGGGTAGACCCAGACCAGCCTGGAGCAGTCCAGAAATCAAACCCCTTGTACCCAAAGTTCTCATCTTTTTTCAAGAGAGTGACCATTCAATTGGATCAGAGACTGTATCCTGATAATCATATCATTATATGGGAGCAGGCTCGATCACCTGCACCGCATGAGGGTTTTGAAGTCAAGAGAAAAGGGGATAAAGAGTTCACTGTGAATATACGGTTGGAAATGAATTACATGCCTGAGAAATTTAAGCTCTCTCCAGCTTTGATGGAAGTTCTTGGTATAGAGGTTGAAACCCGTCCTAGAATAATAGCTGCAATTTGGCATTATGTGAAAGCTAGGAAACTGCAGAACCCAGATGACCCTTCGTTTTTCAATTGTGATGCACCTCTTCAGAAAGTATTTGGGGAATCAAAAATGAAGTTCACGATGGTTTCACAGAGGATATCTCAGCATTTATCTCCTCCACAGCCGATACATTTGGAGCATAAAATTAAGCTTTCAGGGAATAGTCCAGCTGGAACAGTCTGCTATGATGTGGTGGTGGACGTGCCATTTCCAATACAGAGGGAATTGTCTGCTTTGTTGGCGAATGCAGAGAAGAATAAAGAGATCGATACCTGTGACGAGGCAATATGTACTGCTATAAGGAAAATTCATGAACATCGCAGGAGAAGGGCATTCTTCCTTGGATTTAGTCAATCACCTGTGGAATTTGTCAATGCTCTGATTGAATCTCAAAGCAAGGATTTGAAGCTGGTAGCTGGGGAAGCTAGTAGAAATGCTGAGAAAGAGCGCCGCTCAGATTTCTTTAACCAGCCATGGTAAGTTCAATCGCTATTTCTCCTTGTTTGGTTTGAACTCTTCTTTTTTCCATCCATTTGATCCTTAGCTACTGTTTTTAAGTCCAATCATCCATGTGCAAATATATAAATGTCATGGTTGACATGATGCTAACCTTATTCAGGATTCACCTTAGAATTTGAGTTGTAGATTTTTTGTACTATCAAATGTGTTGTTACCTGCTCAAAAGCATGTCACTTGAAAGATTACATGCATGATTCTACCATGCAATTGCTTCACATGAAACTTGCCAAATTTTTAGTTCACCTTTTTTTTTTCCCTTCCAGTTTTGATATCAAGACAACACTGACCACATGATCTTACTTGTTTCTGTTCATGATTTACACAATTCACATATTTTGTTATGAGGATGCCTAGACAAAATTATGGAGATCAACAAAGGGAAACGTTTTGAGGATTCTAATGCATAGTCAAAAAGAGACTAATTTGGGCATCTAATTCAATCTATGAAAGTCTGCTCTTGACAACTCAAAGAAACATTCACACTCATCCGTACTTGTTTGGTTATTGAACAGGGTTGAAGATGCTGTTATTCGTTATTTGAATCGCAAGCCTGCTGCAGGAAGTGATGCTCCTGGGAGCACGTGAGTTGGGAGTTTTAAAGAGCTACTGATCTGTAACTCTGTCATTGATTCTTTCACTTAGCATTTGTAGATTTTCACCTCTCTCTTGTGGAAATAGTACAGCCTATCATCGCCCTATTACTAATGGCCCTGGAGGAATGCTTCATGCTTGTAATACAACAAAAGATGTTCGGTAGCTTGTTTAGGCTTTAATTATCCTCATACTTGCTTGAATTATTATGTTACTGAAAAAAAGAAGAAAATTTGGCATCCCATTATATAGCTTATGTGTTGTCAGTTTTGTGAATGATGCATTTATAGCTGCTGCTCTCTAAACTTTGTGTTCGTTGCATCTTTTTTTGTGAACGTTGGGCATTGATTGGTAAGCGAATCGGCGTGATTCTCCTTTTTCACTTTTGCTAGTTAATGGATAAAGACAAGTTGCTGAGAATCTATGAGAGGGATTGTCGTGGTCTTGTGGATATTTATTTTCTCTCTGTGGAGAGGACGTGACATATTACTAGATTGCATATTCTCTTGTAGGGTTTATAATAATGGCATGTCCGGCGCACGTAATCAAGATGGACGGTTGAGCTGTGAATATTGTGCATAGCATTTCTTATTCTCCTATCATTGGCATTTCTTATGTCGGGTACAGAACTAGTACATTCCAAAGGTTGGTGAATGGGATGCCTTTTATTCTCCTCCACGTGTAGAGTTAGCACATAGCAGAGCTTTAGATCCTGTCAGTTTCAAATTCTAAACACTAAAAAGATAAAAGTTGTTGGCCTTTGTGCTTTCGGTTTGGCTTTTATCTGAACTTGTGCAAAGCATAGTTGTGACATGAAAGTGCAGCTACAGAGGTTACTAGCAAGATGATTTTTAGTTCATGAGCATGATGTTCCTTTTTCCAATTATGTATGGTTGGGAATTACAAGCTTTTATATGTTGATGACCCTTTATTTTGTTCAGGCGAATTCAATATATATGTTTGCTTACGATCTCTTCATATTTAATATTTGCTGAAATTTTTGGATAAATTTTAATTCTTTTTTATATAATATTATGATTGTGTTTCAAAAATATTCATAATTATTTCATTTATGTCTGTTCAATAAACAGATAATTCTTTTCTCCTTCACGAAAGTTGATGCAATCAAATGCTGGAGAGGATATTTCTCCTCCAATGCTAATGTGTGTCATTGTTATATTCCATGTGCATGTATGATAACTTCTGATTCCTGAACTTGCATAGGCAAGGGCATTGATTTGCATTCTTAATTACTGTAAAACCTTCACGTTTTTTTAGGATGGAAAAAGGATCGTACTTCCCCATCCCAAAGCATCTTTAACTTCCTATCAAGGAACTTTTCACAACTATCAAAATTTCAAGTTTTATGGGGAAAAAAAATGGTGGGGTTATTCAGTTATTTTCGCTCAAATATTTTGTAATTAACCTCACTCGACGATTTTATAGATAGACAAAATAATGAGTTGCTTTAATAACAGCTAAAATTACATGACTTTGTTCTATAAATTATGAGAGAAACTGATAAAATTCTCTTCCCTATAGCAGCTGTAATTAATACTTAAACACTAATTAGTAATATAAATTCCATTAAAATATCTTTTCTTGAACGGTAATTTCAAAAAAAAAATTTGTGAAAACGCTGTACATTAGAAAAAATTCTCTCTCTTAAAGAAAGGAGAAAATCCTCAATAAAGACTTGCTAAATATTATTGGTAGCATAATAACAAAACAAAGTTGAATTGGCAATTTCCTGGACACCAAGTTCATCAATCTCTTTTTCATGAAAATAAAGACAGTGCCTAGCATGCCATTTTTTTTAAAAATTTTTTTAACTCACATTGTCAAAACTGTTAGCGAAACAAGTCTGATAGGATAAACAGGACTATCTTTTCCAAACATATGTCATGACGGGGCATTAGAGTTTTCCTGAACTAGTTCCAAATAGTAGAAGGTACAAAAATGTCATTAACAAAATCAAAATAAGAATACCAGCTGTTTTTTTTACAGAGGGAAAATTGCAAAGAATATGGATAATATGTAGAATGAAAACTATACCTATCACAAGATTGATCTATGACCTTTCCACGTTTGACCAAGTTGGAGCGAATGGGAAGGATGTCTTTGATGGTCCTCTAGCAGAAATGTCTAACCTTGAGAGAAACATCACGATGTCACTCTTTTCTACACTCGTTTTCCATCTTCTGTAAGTCCAATAGACGACCCCTCATTAGTAATACAGAGATCAAGAGCCAACGAAAAAGCACTTAATTTGGACTGCAAAAATCCCATTTGTAGTATGATGCCAAACTAGTTTATCTTGAAAAAAATCTAGAACTTAAAAGAAGCTATAGGATTTGCACTGCTTCGAACGAAAGAAAAATTGGGTGAATGAGGTCAGCTTTCCACATACAAGATTTCCTATCAATGAGCATGTCCACAGTAGCATCATCTCGAAGAATTTGAGGCGGGGACTATGATCTGTGACCAGCCTGCTCAAGAAGTCATTTATCATCACCAACATTTCATCTGGTTCCTATTTCAATAATGAGTGGTATGAACGTGATAAAAATTAAAAAAAAAAATGTTAGCTCAATTTTGAGACTTCTTAGATTTAGTTTGATGTCAAATGATCCAACGAGTCAAACATATCGCTATGTCATGATGTAGGCACGACTTTTGCCAAAAAAGATCATTTAGACCCTCAAAATGAATTTTTCTTTTTTTTAGATTTTTCCTTAATTTTCGAGGTTTTTGTATTTGTTTTCCTTTTGAGTTGGCTGAGAGTTTTGGCTGAATTTCCTATTTATGTATCACTTGTAGGCAAAAAAACATAGCTTTTTTTTATTAACAAAGTTTTACGAGAGAGTATCCCAATTTTATTTTAATTTCCAACATTCTTGAATCAACGGAATTTGAACCTTTTTTCTTGGATTTACGTGTAATTCAACGAGTCGTAGTAGATCGATATTTGAAATTCGTATATGAGCTCTTAGATCAATGGTGTTTATTTTCTTCTTATAAGTTTCCCGCTACGTCACTTTCTCTCAAAATGCTTTGTCAAGTATAATTAGATGTTCCTTCCTTAACCGTAATACTTGAAAGAAGAAGAAAGAAAATATTTTGCTTTAAAAAGACCGAATAATAAAGAGATTTATCATTAAGGATCCTCCAAGCTTATTTATTTAGCATGACAAGGTTGAAAGAAAGGAAATCTTTAAAAATCGGTCGTCCTAATTGTTTCGGCGTGCATACTAAGACCATTTAAGCCAATAAATTCGTCTTTCATCCGACTTTTGACTCCTTCAAAGACGAGTACGTTATTACAAGAAAAACTAAAACAAAACGCTAAAGTACTTGTAGCGTTTTACCGTTTCATCACTATTCATACTATTTTTTTCTTTTTCTTTTTCTTTTTTTTGTTTTTTGGCTATAGCCGGGTTAATTTTTTTCTCTCTCTCTTTTTTCCCCCTGCCTTGCCTTGCGTGTAGCTCGGTTTTTTTTTTCTTTCTTTCTCTTGCTTGCTTTAGGCCTCTTTTTTGGCTTTAAATTAATTTTACATTTTAGTCCTTATTTTGTAACTTTTTTTTATTTAGTCATTAAAATTTTATTATAATAAATCATTTTTTTCCTCTTCGTTGCATCTTTTAAGCTCTTCTTTTGGCTTTCAATGAATTTTATTTTTATTTTAGTCCTTGTTTTGTAATTTTTATCGAGGTTATTAAAATTTTATTATATTTCATTTTTATCCCTATAATAAATATTAAATTTTTATTTTATTTTTATTTTAATCCCTGTTTTTAACTTTTTAATTTTGACCATTAAAATTTTATTATATTTAATTTTTACTCCTATAGTAAATCATTTTTTTCTCTTTACGTATTTTTTAAGCCCCTCTTTTGGCTTTTAGCGAATTTTATTTTTATTTTAGTTCCTTTTTTGTAAACTTTTATTATTTTAGTCATTTAAATTTTATTATATTTGATTTTTTGTCCTTATAATAAATATTAAAATTTTATCACATTTGATTTTTGTCCCTGTAATAAATATATATATTTTTTTAGCTTTGAGTAAAAGCTTGCTCACGATCTTATATATATATATATATATATTGCTTTTAGTGAAAGTTTTTTTTATATCATTATTTTATGATCTTTATTTTGTTTTGATCACTTAATTTTGATCGTGTGTAATTTTATCTCTATTTTTTTTTGTCAAATTCTCAATTTGATAAAGTTTTTTGTCTTTTTGTTTTGGGTGGTCTCTCTATCTCATTAACAAATTATAGATGAAGAATATACGGTAAAAGTTAATCATCTAAAATTCAAAAAACTACCACATTATTATTTAATTTTGATTGTATGTAATTTTATCTCTATTTTTTTTTATCAAATTCTCGATTTGACAAATTTTTTTGTCTTTTTGTTTTGGGTAGTCTCTCTATATCATTAAAAAATTATATATGAAGATTATATGGTAAAAATTAATCATCTAAAATTAAAAAAAACTACCACATTATTATTTTAATTACCGGTTATTGTATATATTTTTAATAAAATACATATTTATATCAAATAATAGCTAATTAGTAACATTACATCGCTCAACTTTATTGTAGGCTTTTCGTTTAGCTAACCTGATGGCAAAATATAAAATATATGTTTTGGTTCTTTTTTTAATTTTTTTGCGTTATCCTTTTAAATAATTATTTTTAAATTTTGTATTTTATATGAATGAATACATAAGTATATTGTATAACTCACTTTGAATTTTTTTCACGTTATTGTTTTACATAATTATTTTTAAATTTTGTATTTTATATAAATGAACACATAAAAATATTGTATATCTCACCCCGCGGTAACGCGCGGGATATATGCTAGTAAAGTCTAATTCATCACGGCATCCTCGAGGTAAGAGAAAGCAACTCACACCGTAATAAGGGATAACTTGTGCCATTGTTTTGATCGAACTCCTTTGCGGCTATAAACAACGATCTTTCTTTCTATCCTTTGAACTTATTTAGCATTTTATCCTAAAACAAAGAGAAAAATCTCTTATTTGATCCGGTAATAATTATGAAAAGCCTATTGTATTTAATATGCTCTTCTCGCTACCTTTACTCGCATTCTTTTTTGGATAATAAATTGAGTATGGTATGGAACTTTTTGGCTAAAAAGAGCTTCGACTTATCAAAGTTGATTTTTTTGACCTTAGTCATTCTCATAGTTGTTTTAGAATACCAAGAAGTTCATATGCTTCTTGATTAATAGCACTTGTGAAAAGAAGACTCGTTATCCGCAAAAAAAAAAAAAAAAAAAGATTGAGCGAGATCAATAATCATTACGACTTCGAAAAGTACCATTTAAATTATCATATGTCTTACTCATATTATCTAATTTGAGAGCCAAATTTCTCTGTTTCACAACTTTTTTATTCTTCATGAAAAGGAAAATCTCAAAAGTAACAAGGCATTATCAATAATCATTCTACAAAAAACAAAGGCATTTTGAGAAGAAATAGATTTTGGTTTATTAGCTATAGATTTTATAATAATTTTAAAAATAATAGACTCGAAATGGACCAATGTCTTAGGCTTATCAATTTTAGGTATAAGAACGAGTTAAGTAAAATTAACGAGTCTTAGGATAGACTTTTTTATCGAGGACATCAAGAACAAAATAATTAATATCTTGACCAATAGTATACCTTAAAGGCCTAGGCCTTCGGTGGGATAAATTTGATAGAGTTTTCATAACTTTGTCCTGTGTGTATTAATTTCCTATTCAACTTGTTGTTCATGTCCTGTGTAACTTTTGTTTCCATCACATTAGTAAAAGCTTCTAGATTAAAAGGATTCAATGAAGTTAAAAGGTTCCGAATAGTCGGTTACCACATCTTTTTAATGACACCGGTCATGCGAAGATTAATACAAGCTGAAACTAAGCAACACCAAAACCAACAACGAAATCATCAAGCCACCAAAACAGCAATAAATGTGACTACAAGCTCAAAACAACAATAATCCAAGCAATGCAACAACACGAGATCTAAGCACAAGCTCAACGCAACCAAAATACAAATCCAAGCATAAACTCAACACAACCAAAATGCAAAGGAAATGAGATCTTAAAATAAGCCGGAAACTTACTAAACCAAGTAATCAAGCCATAGTTGATTTTAACAAGGTTTAGAACTCCATGGCAACCTTAGCAATGTTCTCGATAGTACCACCTTGATTGATCAAGTCAAGGATACAAAAATACACTCCAAAGCAAAGCATAAAGAAGATGCAAATTTAGGAGAAAACTCTCTCAACATGTTTATTCAATAGTTCAACAAAAGGTCCTCTCCATATTACATAAGAATGTTTAAATATTACACATGAAATTAACCAAAAAAAAACTAGAAGCGAGACCATACTGCAACACAAGTCCATATTTAATAAAGAAGCAATTTGACCCAATCCTAAACAAACAAGGAAAAATAATTCCTAAGCCATTCGAGCATGACCTAATTAGTCCAATCCATATTAATAAGAACTATCATAGTTCAAAACAAATAAAGATCCAAAATAAATATAGACTAAACTAAAATCTGAATGCAACTAGGAATCCTTATAAAAACAGGATAAATAAAATAAACAAAATAAAGTAAAGTATGGCAACAACTTTTGGTCTAAAATTCAGCAACACTCTCAACCTTAAGTCAAGCCCATATGCACACTCTTTTATCAAGCTTCATGGATTGAAAAAAACTCATCCTTGATATTTTAGCTTTCATCTTCCTCTTGGTAAGATGAAAGATTAAAAATATTGAATGTAGCCAAAACATTGTAGTCTCTAGAAATTCCCCTTATATGCATTCTTTGTAACTCATTCCATAACTTAAAAAGGATCATCTTCTCATGGTTTAAGTTTGGTAAAAAAAACCTTAGGAAGCCTTTCCTTTCTCAAAAGTATCCAGATTAAATCCCCTTTCTTGAATGCCGATGACCTCCTAAATTGATTTGCTTGCTTATGATACTTCTCATTCTACTTAGCAATCCTTTTCCTACCCTACTTGTGTAGCTTCTTTATCTTCTTAGCACTTTCATCGAGCATCATCACTATATTTGGTCAAGATTGCCCCCTCTTTATAATTTTTATGGCGCAAAGTCGGATAAAAAAAGTGTTTTTCGGTAACTTTGCATAATAAGCTTATAAAGACACGTTTTTTGAATGATGATATCGGTGGTCATATTCTCATGGATGATCTCCTAAATTGATTTACTTGCTTATGATACTTCTCATTCTACTTAGCAATCCTTTTCCTAACCTACTTGTGTAGCTTCTTTATCTTCTTAGCACTTTCACCAAGCATCATCATTATATTCGGTCAAGATTGCCCTTTATTTATAATTTTTATGGCGCAAAGTCGGATGAAAAAAGTGTTTTTCGGTAACTTTGCATAATAAGCTTATAAAGACACATTTTTTGAATGATGATATCGGTGGTCATATTCTCATGGATGATCGATCCTTTTTTGTGGTTTTGTTCTCATGGACAATCGACCTTTTTTATGGTCTTGTTCTCAAAGGCAACCTACCCAACATGGTCTTGGTCTCAAGGGTGACTTACCCCAATGATCTTTATCTCAAGGGCAACTTGCCCTAAATGGTGTTATTATCAAGGATGAGTTGTCATAAATGTTCTTGTTCTCAAGAATGATATGCCTTAATGGTCTTGTTCTTAAGGGCAAAATGTCCTAAAAGAAATTATCACTAGGCAACCTTACCTAAAACAATGAATTAAATTATGTAATCCTACCTGAAATAAAAAATGACATTTAGGAAACCTTACCGAAATAATGAACTAAGTTAGGCAAACCTTGCCTAAAAATGAGAAATGATTGCTAGGTAACCACGCCTAAAATAATGAACTAAATTAGACAATCCTACCTAAAATGAAAGTGATTGCTAGGCAATCTTACATAAAATGATGAGCTAAGTTAGGTAACCATACCTAAAAATGAGAAATGATCGCTAGGCAAATCTACCTAAAACGATGAACTAAATTAGACAATCCTACTTGAAATGAAAAGTAATCACTAGGATATTTATTGTTGTGTTAGGTTAGATTTTAGCTAAGATAGGCTTTGAAAGAGTTGTGTTATTTAGGTTTATGTTGGGATGAATTTCAAATAAAATAGGTTTTAAAGGAATTGAGATATTCAAACCTATGTTGGGATGGGTTTTGGATAAATCAAGCTTTGAAGGAATACGTTTTTTAGGTCTCGTGTTGGATTGGTTTTCGGATAAAACAAGATTTGAAGGAACTAAGGGTTTAGTTATATTCGGTAGGATAGTATGAGTGCACTTTGGGCTAGCAAGAGATGATAAGTTATTGGGCTTTAAATTGGTAATATTTTATAAAATATCATATATGGGATTACTTGTTGCTTTAGTGTTTGCTGAATTTTATCATGCTAGAATTTTTTTTTTTTTAACAAAGTAAAAGGAAGATCATCTCTACTTGTCACTCCCTCGTCACAATTATGAGAATTATTAGTATCCTTCATCAATGCTCTAAAATTTTTTATAAGCTGCTACAATATTGACAAACGGAGGATTTTCCAGCAACCTTTTCTTTCTAACCATGCTAACCTTTTAGGATTGAATTGAGGGAGTAACCATGTCACCATCATTTTTTTTAGATTGTTCATTCGATCATGTAAACATTTTTTGATATCCATCACTCTTTCATCAAAGTTATCTAAAGTGAAAGAAGTATTGTTCATTTTTGGAAAAGCTTTTAACCAATCTCCATAACTACTAAACCTAAGCTTTGCATCATCTTCATCGATCATCCATATAATACTCATAATTTCGTATAGTGTGACCATTCTACTATATGTCTAGAAAAAAAATAGCAGTCATTTATACTTAAAATGAATGGATACTAATATATTTGGGCCAATATAGAGATTGATGTCTCATTTTATTAATTTTTTGATATTTCATAAATCTTTTTTGTTAATGAATGAACCCTAAGTTGATAATCATCAACATACACATCTAAAAAACTTTTCAAATAGTTAGCAACTTGGGTAGCAACCACTCTACTTTGCATACTAAATGACATATCATAGATTCTCTCTAAAGAGGAATTGTATGTAATTCTAACTCAAAAGATTTCTCATGACCAATAACTTCTCTCAAGATGAAATATGCTTATCAAAGTTGAATGATTACCTTTCCCAAACCAATTTCTCTCTCTTTCTCTCTCTCTATTAAACTTGAAAGTGAAAAGGTTTTTGCTTAATTTATTTACCTGAATTCGTTTTAAAAGATTCCAAGCTTTTTTAATCATGTGGAGTAAGGCTATAAAAATAAAAGGCTTTGAGGTCCGGAGACTACCAAACATGTTTAAAGTAACATTTGATTTCCTTTTAGCATCAAAATGAATTTCCAATTCATCATCATCTTCTTCTCACACCCTAGGCAATTCTTCTAAAATCTTTACCCTCTCACCAATTTTCTCCTTCCTTTTTATATATGTAGTTGTTGTAGAATCCATTTAATCTAGAAGCTAGAACACAATAAGGATAAAACCATTTGTATGCACAAGTTCAAACTCGGATCAACAAGACATAAAATAACATAAAAAAAAACAAAGATAAAAACCACTCACATAAACAAACTATGGAAACCCTAAAAAGAACTATAGGAGAGGCATAACCCATTATTTACCTTCATCCCTAAAATCGTCTTAAATAAAAATACTAGTAACAAAAACATGATGCTGAAATTAAAAAGCTATCATCCTTAAAAGTTTTAGAACAAATCATAAAGCTAGACCATAAAAAACCCACCTAAATTTTGTATAGTCCTCTATCAAGAAACAACTTAAAGAAGACAATTACAAACTCTATTATGCCATTTTCAACCATTCAAATGTTAGAATAGAAATGCTTAACATAAAATGGTTTCAATAATTTATTGCACAATGTATTAACTCTGTGGACACAATGTCCTTGTGTGTGCTATACCTATGCTTGTAAATATGGCTAGTGTTGAACCTTATTTAGAAACATCGATGTTAAAAATATTATAGGTATTGCCACAATAATTTTATTTTCCTTTGTTGTCAATCCATACATTCATTTCTCATGCTAAGGGCTATTTAATAAACTATAATTTAAATGCTAGTAATGATCTCTTAGCCATATGGTATGGGGCAGGCATTGATAAACTTTAGTGTAAGAGGTTGGAGTTAAAAGCTCTCTAAGGAAAAGGTTGAAGGATCATGCATCCTGTGAAGGTGCGAAATAATACAAAATTTTTTCCTCCATCTAGGATTCTTAAGATCATGTCATGAATCAACTAATCATACATAAACATGAGTACAAATATGGGTGAAAGATTACCTATTGTAGCATAGAAAAACATTAAATGGAAAGAGAACCGTCCAAGTGTCTAGCCTCCGTTGATTATCCACATACCTTAAACACCCACAAAAGAAGCTACGAAATCACAAAGTGCTAGCTTCAATCCTTCGTATAGTTAAAGTTTTTTTTTTTTTTTTTGAAGAAATCATCCGGGGTTTTTTTATGGTAACTTAGGGTTTATAGGAAGGGATGCGACAACATTTAATTTTTAGGAGAGAAATGTTTCTTTTTTTTGTGATTGTCATGTGTGTGTTAGTTCTTCTTGCTTCTTGTCGCCTATCTCCCCTTTATTTATATAAGCGGGCGACATCTTTGTCTTCTAAGGACAAATAGTAGCAATATATGTGGGCTTGTTTGATCTTATCCTTGTAAACTTGAAGCTTTATCCAATAGGGCTCAAGTTTATCCTCCCACCAAAATATCTTACGAGCTTTTAAATTAAGCCTATTGGCTCAAACTCTTTTAGCTTAATTAATCATTAATTAATTTGAACCATCCAAATAAATTGGATCGGATATTTTTAAAAAGCCATATTAGGAAATAATTTCCTAAATTACCTTTAAACCTAAATTAGGAAACTACTTTGCTTTTTAGGTAAATGACTTCCAAGTTAGAAAACTGATTTCTAAAATAGAAAAATTTTCATTTTAGAAAAAAATTTTCAAAACAGGAAACTTTCCAAAATAAAAAACTTTTTCAAAACTCGAAAACCTTTTCCAAAATCTTTACTTCTCTTTTATTATGTGAATGCTTCAACTTATGCGTGTGACTCAATAAGCTCCTAGATATATTAGCAATGTATCAAAAATAAAAGATATCCCTTTTATCTCTTGATACATAAATTAAGATTGACCTCTAGCAAGACATCATGACTACCTAATTCTCTAGGAGGATTAATTAATCTACAATTACCTTGCACGAGCATGGTTACCATACAATTAAGTCCTCATGTCAATTTATCACGAGTGTGATCTTGAACTTCGTTTAAAGTCCGTTCGATTATGATCACATAAGCTTTTTTCGATTCCTAAATTTCTTAGCTCTAGAGTAAACCAATTATACTCTATTGGTATACTTCTATTATGGTCACAGATTTCTTAATAGACATTCATTGAAGTGTAATATGATAATTCCTTTAGCATACAAGGAATGACATGTCCTATCTTAGTCATCCACCTATCTCCGTTAGATTTCTAATGCACTTAATAAATCGTTAATATGTTATTGATTGAGCCCATCGAAATGAGTGTCAAAGTACATAAATCTTTTAATAAGATAATTGTAATGACTTCAAGTCAAAGGACTAATTGTACCCATCTTATATGAGATTCCCATATATTAGACCAAATAGTTACTCATGATGAGTCACATCTAGTGATATATTCTCTAACATCAACCATCTAAGTGCTTGCTTCGGCATCATCATACCAATATATACGAGATTTCTTACTCGCTATCTTATAGCATGAGCATACCACTCACATGCCTTTGTATGTAGTTAATGTCCATTCTTGACATTGCTACAACTTGAGACATTTAATGATATTATTTAAATACATCAATATTTCTCTCACATCAATTGATCAATCATTAATGCAATGCATATCATATAGACTTTTATCAAATTTTAAATGACAAGAATTAATAGAATTTTTTTATTAATATATAAAATGCAATATTACAATAAATCATACCAACCAAATAAGGTTGGATCTTTGGCACTTACACTAACAAAGGTGGTGCTTGGTTACTTGTTGGCTGAGAGTTAAGGTAAGGTCAATGATTTTTCTAAGGTCAAAAAGAAAAACTAAAGACATCTAAACACTACAAAGATCGATATACACACAAACATAGTGCTTGCACACTTTATTACATATACATGCATACAATTGCACATGCACCCCCATATTGTCTTACCTAGGTACATATATGAATGAATTAATTTGATGGGCTTTTTAGGTGATGAGAGTGAAGTAGGAATGAGAGTTTAGAGGTAAGAGAAGACCAAAAGTAAGAGAAAGGAAATGTGATCCGAAAAGAGAGAATGTGTGATTAAATGATTTAAATTTTTTAACAATCTTATCTCTTTTTTTAATTTAGGTAATTTGTAATTTCATTACGTCAAGTTGGTCGACAAAAAAGACAAAATCCATATATCTTTTAATAATTGAGCTATGCCAACATCACGAGCAAAAAATGTGTCCAAAATTTGATCAACGGGATTAGTGGACTTGATTACAAACCAAAAATAGTTATAGTATTCGAATTAAAACAAAAATTAGTTTAGGATATTAGTTTATTGTCAACACATAGTATAAGGTGCTATCAAATCAATTAGCCAAAAATAAATTTATAGAGAAAAATATGTGTATCAAATAGGTAAAAAAAATTATATTGATAGTTTTTCTCTATTTATAGAGAATATTAAAAGTAATGGCCAAGTAAGATTGAAAGATAAATTAAACGAATTAGAAATACAAATTTTGGTAGGATAATTTTTTCCTAAATTGTAAAAGACAATAAAAATAACTTAAACGAATTGGGCTTGAAGGAAGCCTACGGTTGTCGCACCTAATTCTTGAATGAATCAAATTTAACTTGTCTTTATTTGATTTTGATCCTTCATATTGCTTGAATATTTGGATTTGATTCTTAAAGTCAAAAGCTTATCAATTTGGCCCATTGTTAAAGGCCAATTGAAAAATATTAATTTCGAACATAAATTCTCTTATTTCTTGATTATAAACTCGTTATGACAAACAACGAAATAAAACAAGTAATGAAAGACAATAATCAAAAGATAAAGCTAAACAAATTATTAATATACGGTATTTACGTGGTTTAGTAAATTGCCTACTCCACGAACAAGAGAAAGGTTTTATTAGCTTAATAGCAGGTGATTACAAGAATCCTAGCTTATTAGCTCATTAAAAAGTTTTTGTCTTTCACTCTATTTCCTAAACAAAGAAATAACGAGGTTTAAATATCTTATACCTATAAAGGAAAAAACCCAATGGCCTAAATATATTATTAGCTCATAAAATCTAAGCCATATATAACAAATCTTCACCTTGGTTTGAATTCTATAAACCTTCAAGAATATCAAATAATTTCTCAAGACACATCTCTTAGCTTACGTGAGCTAACTCGATGTAAGAAATAAAAGATGTAAAAAGAAAAAATATTAACTACAACACTAGGACTAACAAAATTCCTTCTCTCTAACAATACTTTAACATGCATAAATAAATACTTGAGGCACATAGGCGGATTCATAAAAACACGACCAAAACAATAAAGTACATGTACATGATTCATTTTCAATTTAAAACACCATACGATCAAAGGCATTAGGCTCAAGTGCAAGATAAATGCTTCACATGGGTAGAGGCATGAGGAACGAGCACAAGATAAGAGTATCGCAAAGGCATATGCATGAGGCATGGGAGAGAGAAGAAAATTTACAC